ATTTCTCCATTTGATAGGTTTTATTTCTTTATCGAGTTATCAGTTGAGCATAGTTAGCTGAGTCCATTTATTTCTAGATTCTCAGTTCTGTTCTCTTGGTCTGTATGTTTGTCATTGTACCAGTACAATGGTTTTGGTTACTACTGCTATATAGTATGTTTTGAGGTGAGAGAGTAGTATGTGTCCCTCTTCATTTTTGTTTCTCGGAAGTGTTTTGCTTATTTGGGTTCTCTTGACTCTCCCAATAATCTTGACAATTTCCCTTTCAATCTGCTTGAAGAATGAATTTGGTTTATTGGTTTGGGATTGCATTCAACATGTAGATTATGTGGCTTTTCATAGGATTGTAATTTTCATAATATTGAGTCTTCCTATTCATGAGCAGGGTACATTTTCCATTTCTGTAGGTCTTTTATTGTGTCTCATAAATAAATTCTGTAGTTTTCTTTGTAAAGGCTTTTTCTATCTTTAGTTAGGTTCACTCCCAAGTGTCTCAATTTGTGGTTGGCCATTGTAAATGATACTGCTTTCTTTGTTTCCTTCTCTGAGTTCTCTTTGTTACTGTAGAGGAATTCCTCTTAATTTTGGATATTGATCTTATATCCTGCCACTCTACTAAATTGGCCTACTTTCTTTTTTTTATTGCATCTTTGGGTTTTTCTGTGTACACCGTCAGTCATATCATTTGCATGTAGTGACAGTTTAACAATCTCTTTGCTGACCTGGATGCCTTTTATTTCTTTCTTTTGTTGTATTGCCCTAGCAGGCATTTCTAATACACTATTGAATAGAAATGTTGACAGTGAGCATTCTTGTCTGGTCCCTGTTTGCAAGGAAAAGGTTTTTTAGTCTTTCTCCATTGAGAAAGGTGGTGGCTTTTACTTTTGCATATATACTTTTCACTATATTTAGGAAATTCCCTTCTATTTAAATTTTGCTGAGTGTCTTTATTAAGAAGACTTATTGGATTTTGTCAAATGCCTTTTCTGCATCAATTGCTAAGATCATATGGTTTGTGTTATTTGCTCTGGAGAACAACCACCTGGCCAGCTGACTGGAAGAAATCTATATTTGTTCCCATCCCAAAGAAGGGTGACCCAACAGAGTGTGTAAGCTATAGAATAATCTCATTAATTTCACATCCAAGCAAGATTCTACTGAAGATTATCCAAAAACGACTGGAGCAACACATCAGCAGAGAACTGCCAGAAGTCCAGGCTGGGTTTAGAAGGGGTCGTGGTACCAAGGATATTATAGCTAATGTTAGATGGATATAAGCTGAAAGCATGAAGTACTAGAGGAATGTCTTATCTGTGTTTCATTGAGTATGCAAAGGCATTTGACTGTGTGGGTCACAACAAACTGTGGCTGACTCTGAGAAGAATGGGAATCCCAGAACACTTGATCGTGCTAATGAGTAACCTATACTTAGACCAAGAGGCAGTCATCAGAACAGAGCAAGGAAACACTGCATAGTTCAAAATTGGGAAAGGCATATGTCAGGGATGTGTCCTGTCTCCTTTCTCCATACCTTTTCAACTTGTATGCAGAACAGATTATCCGGGAGGCTGGGCTCTATGAGGAGAAATGTGGGGTCAAGATTGGTGGAAGA